GACGATTTTTCACTGTGTGTTTTATAATCAGATTAAGCTTCATTGGTAGTAACAGGAAAGAGGAAATGATATACTTGGCTGGTGGAAGCATTCTGATACTGAAGCTAAAATCAAGGATTTGATGCTGATATTATGAAACAGTTTATGCTTCACTGCATGAAATTCACATATTTAGAGAGGCTAGGCTTGGTGATATACACCTGTAATCCTAGCGCTCAGGAAGCTGAGGCAGAATTGCTGTGAGTTTGAGGTCAGCCTGAGCACATCAAGACTGTCTCAAAACAACAAAAACTCAACAACAAATCACATACTTAGTATTGTATTTTATGTTTCTGGATGTTATTTCCAGCCTAAGACTAACACCTGACATGGGTACATAACTCTTTGACATGGAAAAATAAGCATTTAATAGTACACTTTTATGAATTTTTTTAAAGTACAGTAATTCTTATAATTCCCAGGAGTACTACAGTGGTAAATCCATGGTCAATTCTACTTTAACCATTAAAAAAAATTTTTTTTTAATTTATTTGATACATGTTTCCTCCAACTCTGACTATTCCACTGCGCAGATTGATGCCTGGGCACTTTGATTTCTTCTATGGCTAAGTCTTGTCCCTTAGTTTGGGACATAATTTATCCCAAGATTAGTTTTTGGTTTTTTGGACCTATCTGTGTTGCTCTTGGAGCACTTGGCCCAGCACTGAGGCTCTCAATGCATGGTCCAGACTGGTTGTGATCCTCCTGTCTCAGCCTCCCTAGCACTGGGATTACATATAATTGCCACCACACCCAGTTTCAGGGCGGGCACAGCATGCAGTCCCGGGGGTTGCACTTGGATTCTTATGCTTGCCAGCCAGGTGCTTAGAGCACTGAGCTATCTCCCCAGCTCCTTTAACCATTTTTGATGGGCAAGGTGATATATGGCTACTCAAGATGCTGAGGCAGGAAGGTGATCACTCACTTCCTGGATTTTAGGGCCAGTGTGGATAACATAGCAAGACTTTGTCATTCCCACTCCTTGTAAAAATTTTGTGAGACTGGCCTGTAATCCTAGCTCTTGGGAGACTGTAAAAAGGTGGATCACTACGAGTCCAATCTAGTAGTGAGACTCTGAACACCCTGTAGACCCTTCTCTAAAATACACACACACACAAATTGCAACAAGGTTTCACTAAATTGCCTAGGTTGGGCTCCAACTTGAACTCTCCTGCCTCAGACTACTACATAGCTAGGATTATAGGGGTGCAGCATCATGCCCAGTTTTAGAATTACAAAAACTTTTAAGAGCTTGTTTAGCTGGGAAGGTAACTCAGTGGTAAATCACTTGCCTAATATGCTCAAGGCCCCAGATTTAACTGCCAGCACTGAAACAAAATGTTACTCCCAAACTCCCACTTTTGACGTTGTAAAACTAAAATTATATTCTCATGTGCTTACATTGCTAAACATAGGTTTTTTAGGATTTCAGGCTCTGTTAAAGATGAAGATACCACAAGACTGCAAGACCGCCAAGAAAAATATTCTGATTTTCTTCTTGGTGAACTGGAGATAATTTTACTTAGAAATACACATTGGATAAAAGATAAACATTAATCACAATCCCCAGTAAAAACTTTGGCAACTAATTTGAGAAGTGCTTGAGTCTCACCTTTTTCCCATTTCTAGAGTTAGCTGTCTGTACTGCTTCCATTCCCAAACAGTTCAATTCTGCTTTATTATTTTTTTTACATCTCTGCCACTTCTGTTTTCTGCGTTCTTCCATATACTGCAATAGAAATGTATCAGTTATCGTAGAGATGAGAATCTCTAAAATAATTAAGGTACTAAAAAAAAGGTTAGTTCTAGTGGGAAATTGCATCAATTGGATTTCTCCCCTAAACTAGTTAATATTTTCCTGGCATTTAGTTTAAAAAGTATTTAACATTATTTTATTTTGATTATCAAAATGCTGTGAAATACTTAAGACGGTATTATCACCCTCCTTGCAAATGCAGAAATAATGTTAAGAGCATGGCATGCTTTCTCCCTCTCACACAGCTTAAAATACAAAAAGTGACTTTAAATCCAGCTGGATGGAACTGTCACTCACCGCTAGAAATCGGGGATCGACAGCAAACTCTGGATGACCCTGTAACCACATCTCCAGTTCAGCCCGGCGAGGGGCATCCTCACCCACCAGCAAAGTACCATCCACCTTATTGATGACGGGGATCCGGGACTCCAGGTCCACATCAAGGTGATTAGGCTCTTCCATGCACTCCACCTCCAGCTGCAAACCCAGAATCCACCCCCATGAGCACATACACTTCTCTGAGGTGGAAGGGAGGGGAAGCATAGCTGGTACTAATTATAACAAGAATATCTTCAATCCCTAAGTCCCGACCACCTTCATCAACTACTAAGAATGAAAGATCTTACCTAACTGTGAGGTTAGAGGCTTTCTCTACTACTTACCTCTACCAGTTTTTTTCTGTTCCCCTTCTTCTTATGAAACAGTGGGTGTCCATCTCCCATTACTCCATTAGCCATCAGCTTGTGCTTCTGGAATGTTAACTTTAATCCTTCCTCCTAGAAAGATACACCCATGCGAAAGATCATATTGCATATATTTTTAAAAGTGAAGATTAAGCTTGGGGGACATGGGCAGGACATCTCTGGCTCAATAATGTGAAAAGGAAGGCCTTTCAACTAAAGGGTAGAAATCACATTCACAAAGACAGTTTTTCCTTTCAAAGATTTCAGTTTAGCTACATGTGGTTTTAATCCTAGTAATCAGGAGGCTGAGGTAGGAGGACTGGCATAGGTTCAAGACCAACCTGAACTACAAAAAAAAAAAAAAACAAAAAAAAAAAAAAAAAAAAAAGATCCTTTGTTGGTCAAGTGTGCTTGCTTTGGAAACACCTATACTGAAATCTCTTGATCTAGTGCCCCTCAGCGAGATTTGTAAGAAGCAGAATTCATCAAAACATGCAAGGAAGATGTAAACTCCCTACCTAGTATCAGTCTTAGCATGACATCTCAGGGGCAAAATCCTACTATTCCTGTCATGTACTAATTTTAGAAAATTTTCTTCTTTGACTGTTTAATGAGTAGCAAGGCTCAAAGGGGAGGAGGATCAAGAAAAATAGAATTTTCATGTATAAAACAAAAACTGATTTAATTGCAGTAGGAGTGGTTCCTTTTAAAATTTAATTTTCATTTATTCTATTTTTATTTTTTTGCTTTTTTGTTTTTGGCAGAACCAGGGATTGAACTCAGGCCCTTGCGCTTGCCAGGGAAGCACTTATTTCACTGAGCCATCTCCCCAGCCCCTCCTATTTTTATTTTTAAATACTTGCTGGCCAACACTAGTGTTATGCCTTTTTTTTTTTCTTTCTTTCGTTCTTTTTTTGCAGTACCAGGGATCAAACTTGGGGACCTTGAGCTTATTAGGCAGGCACTTACTCTGCTGATCTGTATCCCCACCTGCTCTATTTTTAAATATCCTATTAGTGAAACTAGTTACACTACAGCCTTCTTCACCACTTTCCAGTCCTCAGTGCACACTTACATCTTTGATCTGAACTGTGAACTCCTTCTCATCCATGCCTCGATGAAGTTTGGTAAACTGGGCTGCTGCTGTGCTGACTGCAGATGCTTCCTCCTCTGCCATGGAAGCTGCACTGCTACTTCGTGGTGTAGGGACTGGAGAGTCGCCATACTCTCCTGGGGTTACTGAAGGACTGTCTAGTAAGTGGTTTCCTGGCCCCAGAATTCCTCCTGTTATTTCCTGGGTCCTGCGGCTAGAAGGCCATTTCCCTGAGAGTATAGCCTGGCAGACGAGGTCAATACGGTTTATGAGGACACGATCCTGAGTGGAGGGGGAAAAAAAAAGATTTAGGAGTCTGAGTACTAAGTATGCAATTGTCTGATAGAATACTGTCATTACTAGGATGGTAAAAAGCAAGACAGAGCAGTCACACTGTCAATTCCTGTAGCAATAAAAAACAATTCGATGCAAAAAATGTAGCACCAGCTGAGCATAGTGGTGTACACCTATAATCTCGAGGCAGGAGGTCAGTTGTGAGTTTAAGGCTGGCCTGGGTTTCGCAGTTAAGTTCAGGAGTAGTCTTAACTAGTCATTGTAAGACACTGTCACAAAAAAACCAGAAGTAGTATTAAACATAGCAGTAAAATAAAACCCCTAACCATTGTTCCTTTTCCCCTGTATATAACATTGCATTCTATTTCTGGATACTACATATCCAGAATGGCACTGTTACCTTTGGCCACTCAGAGGCTCTTTGTCTTTCCTGCAGCATCAGAAGCTCAGGGGTCATTTGTTCTCCATCTTCATTTGGGAATCCGTCTTGAGACACAGAGAGGGATAGGAGACTCTCTTCATCATAGAGCTTTGCGCGGGATCGGTCAGCAGCTAGAGATCACACAGAACGTGTGAGCAAAGATAGCAAAATGATGCTAAGTGGGAACAGTGTTATGAGAGCTTTGAGTCAAAGGCCCAAAGAATAACTGATCTCTCTCGACATTTTATCAAACCAAATATTTAATCTCTAAAGAGGATGCATTTAAAAAGAAGACAACGAGCAGAGAGGGGAACAGGGAAGAGGTCCAACAGCCTGTCACATGCACTCACTTAGCTTCTCTTCCTTCTCGTCCTCACTCTCATCAGTGCTGGAGCTTGAGCTGGAGGAGGATGAGGAAGAAGAGGATGATGGTGACAGCTTGCTTAAGTCCAGCTCAGAGTCTGAATCATCCTCATCCTCCAGTTTGACCGGTGGAACACTCCGCGACACCAGAGGGGTAGTATCAGAGGGGGCTATTCGCATCTCATAGTCTTGGGCTGGTTGGCTCCTGGCCACCATTTCATGCTCTAGCTTTAAAGTCAGACTCTCCAGACTGGGGACCTGGGCAGCTGCCTCCTCAGGTGACTTTTCAATGGGAGCATCTGGGTGCAGGGGCAGAGGTGAGGCAGTGCGCGAGGTATACTGCTGGTGTAGCAGTGGAGTAGAGCAGCGTGATAAGGATGTAGCTGGTGCTCCTGTCTGATGGTTCTGCATATAATTCATACGGGCAGCCAGAAAAGAGAAGTCTGGGTCCTGCATGATGTTGCAGTCTGTTTGGCTCACCCCATGGCGGGCTGCCCCTCGCAGAAGCTCCCCATCATGACGAACAGGTTCCCACCATTTAGGCAGTTCTGGACCTGGAGGCTGACACAATGCCAGCCGATCTTCCAAAAGGGGATGGCATAAAACTTGTTCCCGTAAGCGCCGAAGCAATTCGATACGGTAGAGAGTCCACGAGGCCCTTTCCTCAGTGATAGGCTCAATGAACAGATTAGGATCTGGGGGCTCTACAAGAGATAGTGGTAGAAAGAGAAATGGACCTAGAGTTGGTGTGTTTCCACCCACCCCTACTCACCCTGGACTTGCCCATCTCACCATCTCCAGCTGCTGGGGGAAGGCGACACACTTGCCGGCACATGGCCACAAAACCATGGAAGTACTTGGTAAGGCTCTCATCAGTTTTTTTGTCTAGTCGGGCAAAAGTGCGGAAGCGATCCCAATGGAACTGCATACTGTCAGGATCATATTCCACACCAAAGGTAGACACTACTCTATAGAAATCAGTTTGCTCACGCCTTGTCCATCTAAAAGGGAAGAGGAGTAACAACAACGATCAGAAACACAAAGGAGATCTGCTGTCTTAGGATGGTTTAGAGTACCTGAAAAAATAAGTGTATGGAAAATAAAACAGGACAGGGTCCAGGAGAAAATCTATGTAGGGAGCCTGCCCTTAGCTCAGTTGTTTAAGCACCTGCTCATGCAAAGGCAGTCAGGAGCAGGATATCGTGGTTCGATCCCCAGCTCCACCTGCCTTACCAGACCAGTCCTTCAGGCAGCCTGAGCCACCAAAAAAAAAAAAAAAAAAATCCTTTAGGAGCTGGGGAGAGGGCTCAGTAGAATAAGCTCTTGCATGGCAAGCACAAGGGTCTGGTTCAATCCCCGGTTCCGCCAAAAAAAAAAAAAAGAAAGAGAAAAAGAAAAAAAAAATCACGGGCCGGGGAGATGGCTCAGTGGAATAAGCACTTCCCTGGCAAGTGCAAGGGCCTGAGTTCAATCTCTGGTTCCGCAAAAAAAAAGAAAAAAAATCTATGTAACATGTAGGAATTACCAAGTAGAGGGAAGATGAGGCAGACAACTCAATGGAAGTATCTGCACTGGAGACGTTACCAGTGTTACTATTACTGCAGATTTAAAGCCTTAAGAGATCTAACAACTCAAGGCAAAAACATCTCTGTATATGGAATTGCAAACACATTTTTCTCCAAATTTACTTAGTCACAGACAAACTTACAGTATAACCCAAATTCTGAGGTATATTTTACCGTTGTTGCTTCTCCCGCCGAGCAATTTCTTTTAGCTTAAAAGCTGCTTCACATCGCCGCCGTCGCCGGTCCCCACGTTCTGCAGCTTCCATCTTCATTTGTTCTCTCTTGTAGCTGCGCTGATAGGCTGTCACCAGGCGCCGAAGCCTAGCAGTCAGGGCAGAGCCTGGAGGCCAGAATAGATGCCCTGGCTGCTGAGTTACCTGGGCTGTGGGAAATAAAGTAGAGTGAATAGTAAGAATATACAAAGGACAGTACAGGTAATACTTGTATTTCAACCTACCCACAGGCCAAGCTCTTAGTGATCCCAGGACAAAATTTAGTCAATACTTCCCCACCCCTCAACCCTCACAAAATTATACTAGTTGACTTAAAGTTTACCTTCATCTCCATCAATCACAGAGATCTCCTCATCCATCATCATCAAAGGATCACCCTAGGGAAGGAGATCCACCCCACAGGATGGAGGGGGAGGGAAAGAGGGAAATTGGCACTCTGAAAAGAACCCCTGCAATACTTTGAAAGCAACCCATACCGGGACAGGACTGTGCAATCTGTTACTTAAATAATAACCTTTAGCATCCAGTGTGGGTCCCATCTCTTCTACAAAGCCTCCCTGATCTCCCAGCTAACATTAAAATACTTCCCCTCAGTATTCTAAATGCCTAACATTTTACATTTTGTATTATAAATTAATCAATGTACTTCATTGTGTGTACTTCATTCACAGTATGGAAAAACAAACTGGCAGTAAAAAAAAGCTGGATTCAAATAAGAGTACTTTACCTCATCATCTTGGTCCTTTGGGGGACCCTGGAGTGGTTTATATTCAGGATCTTCACAATCCTTATCAAAGTCAACCCTAAAATAATCCAAAGTGAAAGAAAATGTTACTAACTTAACATTAACATTCTACCCAAGTGTGTTGGTGCTGGTCTGTAATCCCAACACATGGGAAGCCTGCAGTAGGAGGATCACTGTGAGTTCAAAGCCAGCCTCCGCTACATAAAGAGTTCAGGACCAGTGCTGAACTGCGCTGTGAAACCTTGAACATAGAAAGGAGCTGTATGTAAACATACAGTCCGATAGGAAACAGGACTTAACTTCATGCTTGCAGCAAAGGTAAACCAGGTGCTAAATTTTGGATCACTTAATACAAGTTCAAAAGAGTAAACAACTAGAAGAGACTGAAAAAGTGCCATTCATAATTGCTTTAGTTTAAAACAAAGTAACTTCATTTCTTTGCAGTGCTAGGGATTGAACTCAGGACCTCTGTACACTGACCCACATGCCCAGTATTTTTTCTTTTATCCTTTTGAGACAGGGTTTCTCTTCACAGTCCAGATTGGTTTTGAACTATGTAGCCCAAGCTGGCCTTGAACTCACAGTGACCCTCCCTGCCTCAGCCTCCTGAGCACTGTAATTATGTGATTGTGCCACCACACCCAGCTACCTCCAGCCTTGGGTAACTTTTTATTTTGAGACAAGGTCTCACTAAATCATCTGAGTCTCCCAGGTTAGGCTTAAACTTCCATTTCTTCTGTCTCAGCCTTCTACAGTATGGGGATTACAGGGTTGTACCACCATGTGAAGCTGCCACGTTACTACCAGTTTTTTTTTTTTAATTAATTTATTTATTT